TTCTCTTCTCTTTCTCTTCTCTTCTCTCCCTCCCCTCCCCTCCTCGCCTCCCCTCTCCTCTCCTCTCTCTTTATTTTCTTTTCTTTTCCAGCTTTACTGACATATAATTGACATGGGACCAGGAGTTTGGAGCAGAGTCATGGGGGAGGGAGGGGCACACGGGAGCGGGGAGAAGGGCACTCGGGGAAAGAGAAGACTGAGCTGTGGGAACATTCCTAAAGAATTAGAGACTTGCAGCTCCAGCTGGAGGAAAAAGTTGGGTGAGGAATGACACCCTGTCAGACACCTTCGAATGTGAAAGTGGAAGCACATTCTCTTTGCTGCTGGTAATGATGCTGAGAATTTACATTTTTTGTGTGTTAATTTGACCTCATTTACATAATACCTTATCACAGAGAATCACATAGCTGTTGCCCAATTGTCTTCTTTCTCTTGCTAACCCCAAGTCTGGGAAAGAAAAAAAAAAAAGACTTTTATTTTGGCTGAGGCAGAGAAATCTGATTTGATATTTTGCTGTCACCAACCTTTTGCTTTCATATTTGCTTTTTTTCATACTTGTTTTTTCCTAGCTCACACAAGCACTTGACTTTGTATATTTCCTTTTGCATTTGTTCACATACATATGTATTTTCCCATACTTTCTCTAACTTTTTCCATTTAATATTGTATAATTATCATTTTCCTTGCCTCCCCAGTGTATTCTTAATTCTAGTCTTTCATATATGTCCAATATTCCATTGAGTAATCATTGGAAAATTATTATGCTTTGGTTTTTCAATAGTTTAGAAATTGTAATGGCAATTTTTGTGTATAGAATTTATTTTTTTCTGTTAGATTATATTCCTAACAGCATCTGTAACTCTTAACTTCCTACTTAGAAAAACCGAGTTTTATGATTTAAGGTGTTCTCCTTTTTGCCTCCCATTCTTGTATGTCAGTGACCATCTCAGCATGAATTGTTATGCATTTTACTTTCTCTGTATAGCAGGCTTACTAAAGCATCAGTCCCGACATGTTTATGTAACACTCTGCAATATCAACCTGAGAGTTTCTGCCATCAGTGTGACTGTGGTATGCCGGAAAGCAGCAGCCTAGACTGGAAATATCGCAGAGAGATTATGATGGTCATAAAAAGTCATTTTCACTTGAAGGTCTAAAGCTTCGCTGTACTGTTTCCTACATCTACTTTCTTTAAGTTTGTATCTTTTGTCACCAACCCATAACTCATCATAACTCATTCTATACCTGGTAACCCTTTAGCTCTTTTATCCACTTTCCTACTTTAGTGACATTACTTACTATTTGATCAGTTCTCTTCCTTTCCCCGTAGTGTTTGAAGTTATTGTTGTGTTTGTACCTACCTCCAATTCATTAGTGATCTTTTCAATGTTTCTCTGTTATCAGTCAGCTGGTCCCTAAGGATACTGAATGCTCATTTTGTTGCAGCACACACTGGCCATGTGACCAGCGATGCCACTCATTCACACCAAACACGTACATGAATGTTTATAACATCTGCATTCATAGTCATCAAAAACTGGAAACAACCCAGATGTCCTTCATGGGTGAATGGATGAACACTGTATGGTGCGTCCATACAATGGGATCCTACTCAGCAATTAAAAAGGAACGAACTATTGATACACACAACAACTTGGATAAATCTCAAAATAGTTATGCCAAATAAAAAGAAGCCAGCCTCAAAATGTTACATACTCTGTGATTCTATCTATATGACATTCTTGAAAAGAGACAACAATATGATAGAGAACAGACAAAACATAAAATAAAATGAAAAGATTCCAGTTTCATCAGTCATCATAGGTCCTTTGACGAGTTATTTAACCTCTCTAAATCTCAATTTACTTACCTGCCGAGTGTGGAAAATACTCTCTACCTTGAAGAGGTGTTGTAAAGATGAAATAGAATGTTGTAAAGTATCTACATGACATACAGGAAACTCCTCCCTTTCTTTTCCATGCTGATACTTCTCAATGGGAGCAAGTTCTATTTCATTATCATCTGTACTTTTTTTTAATAGTTATTTGACTCTTGGAGAACAGACTGGAGCCATGGAGGTTTTCAAATAGAAAAGTCACCTGGTCTGATTTTCATTTTTAGAAGATGATTTGAGCAGCTTTGTGGAGAGTGATGAGTGTAGGAGGGTAAGAGTGGAAACACAGAGGCTAGTAAGAGGTGTTGGGTTTGTCCAGGTGAGAGATGATGGTGGCGTGGGTCCGGTGGGAGCAACGGAGAGGGAGAGGAGTGGGCAGGTTTGGGATTTATGTTTTTGGAGGTAGAACCAGCAGGCTTGATGATGGTTTGAAGACTGAAGAAAGGTGGCTGGGGGTGTCGTTTACTGAGATGAGAAACTCGAGGAGCAAACTCAAGTGCGTGGGTTGTAGTCTCGTGGAAAGTCAGAAATTCTGTTTGGACATGCTAGGAGTGGAAAACCGAGTAGGTAGTTGGGTGAGGATTCCGGAACCCAGGACCACGCCAGTGCTGGCTTGTTCATGTCCATGTCTTCCTGCACCCAGCAGCTGGAGGCGGCGCTGGGAGTCTCCCAGCTCCTTGCTTCCAGATTAGGGTTGCGGAGGGGGAGCTTGTAGCTGCCTTTCCTTTGACCTAAACTTGGGATTTGGGGCAAAGTTTTTAATCCATTCCTGAGAGCAGGCGTTTGCACAAAGCACTTCAGATTATGCTTGTATGATCCATTGCTGCCAGATTTATTTTCCCCTTTTCCATTTAATGAGATTTAGGGAAAGGAGATACCTAATATTTCCAAATATCCAGCCTAGCAGTCATCAATCATACTGCGTTAAGATTGAAAAGTATTAATAACTACTGAGAGTCATGATGAATATGCAAATACATGACAATATGCTAAGAGATTATATTCTAACATATTTTGTTATTTTTATTATCCTCAAATTTCCAGTTTTGCCACAGACCAGGGAAAGAAATTCAAGATATAATGTTCCTTGGTAACTACCAAATTCAGTTTGATAACTACCAATTAATGATTGCCTCTGGGAAGGGAGGGGCAGGGGTGGAATTTGGGGAGAGGTAGTGAGGAGGTTTCAGCTGTGTCTGCAAAACGTTAACGTTCTGTAGAGTGGGGTATTGGGTCATTACGTCTGTGTTTGAAAAGTTTTATAATTAATATTTTGTCCTTTAAACATACACATAAAAACAATTTTAAAATGTAGCCGTGAGAGACAGTGTCCTTCCTCCACCCAGCCTATCCCCATTAATCACCGTAAAGAGTGATCTATTGGGTTTTTCTCTCAGAAAATGTAATTACTTGGTAATGAAATGTTAATGTTATGTTCTATTCTTAAAGTCACTTGTTCCAGTGATGAAGCTGTGGCTGAATAGAGTTGCTAAATTTTCTTCTAGGTCATTCTTTTAATATTTCATGTTTGTCAAATAAGCTGACGATGACCTGGAGCCTCTTTTGTTTTCACAAACAGGACCATTTCAGCAAAAACACATCATCAGGCTGTTAACTTCAACATCTTCGAGGGCATGGTTTGCCATGGCGTGCCCCTTGTGACTATTTCAAGAGGCAAAGTGGTGTATGAAGATGGAGTGTTCAGTGTCACAGCAGGACACGGGAGGTTTATCCCTCGTCAACCCTTTGCGGAATATATTTACAAACGGATCAAGCAGCGGGACCAGGTGAGTTGGGGTTAAGTGGGCTGTTACCACGGACTAGACTGTCACCCACTCCTGGATATTGGTGGTGGGTCTTGTCACATGCAATCGGTTAACATATTTGCGGGGTGTCAGGAGAGGGCACAAATACAGTTTTCAAAGAGAAAAATCATTACTGGGTGGATGCATTTTCCCTTGCTGATTGGTGTCTATTCAGGGTTTCCTAACGGACCAAGTTTGTTTTTCCCAGGCAAAGTCAGGGCCCCTGTGAGCCTTTTGGCAGTTGGGTTAGTCAAGTTCCTCTGAGAAGCAGAAACCCAGATGGATACAGGTGCGACTTTTTATTAGCGGAAAGACCCGAGGGAGAAAATGGGCTGGGAGAGCCCTCAGACTGCAATTCAAGTCTGGCTCCAGTGAAGGAAAGAGGGAGAAAAAAGGGGGTGGAAGCATCCTAGACTACTGTATTGACTAAGAAAAGCTGAGCAAAGCTTACGGGCAGCTCTCGAGCCAAGTCTCCTGGCTGCCTGGCACATGGTGCGCTGTCATTGGCTGGAGCAGCAGTGGCAGGCCTGGCCTCCACGTGAACAATAGGGTGGAGTTCAGACTCAGCAACCGTCCCTTGTAAAAATCACGCCCCTGTATCTGAGGATCCGCAAGGCGCATTCTAATAACCACCAGAGCTCTGGCGGAGTTTGGGGTCCAGGTAAATACGAATTCTACCCTGACCTTCCATTCCCTAGCTGTGTGGCCAAGAGCAAGTTTCTCTGTCATCCTTGGGCTCAGTTTCCTCATCCAGAAAATGACAACAGTGTTTCCTCCCTAACAGATTGTAAGACTCAAATGAGATTTTAAAGTATAAGGCACATAGTAAGAGGTCAGTAAATGTCAGTTCCATTTCTTTGCTTTCCCCTTTTGTTGAGTGAATTTATCATAAAGGCCTCCAAGTCTTTGTAACAGCCCTGTTGTTATAAAGGAGCTATTTATTCTTTTAATATATCTTGGACTTTTGCAAGTTTAGCTCACATAGTGTTTCAAACAGTTCTAAAAATTCACTTCACTAAATACACTAACATATCAGAAATGTTCAGTTTAAAAGCATCTACGTAGCTAGATTTGCAATGAGGGGAGGCAGCCTGTGCCTCTGTCCCACCCGGTAAGGAAAGGCCAGAGCTGGATGGCCCAGCCCTGCAGAGGCTGCCTTTCTGATTCTCACCGCAGGCTTCACTCATTAATGTTCCCAGCCTGGCCACGTAGACATTAGAGTTTGTAACCCTTGGATTAGTTCTAAGGCTTCTGTGTCTTCTTTCCATTTTAAAATATACCTCTCTTTTCCCAAAGTTCTCTGGCTGTTTTCCAATTCATTTCATTTGGGTCTTGTAGCCTCTTTGATTTCTCCTCTCATGTCTTGTGAACATTTTTCACTTGTGGAGTCTCAGAGTCCGTTACATAAGATTCATCCTTTTTTGGTTTTTGTTTTTTTAACCACTTCCTAAAGCTCTGATTAAGTAATGTGCTCTAGAATGCTTTAAATGGTAGGATGCTACAATTCTTCATATACTGTATTTCAGTCAAAATATTTAAGGCTGCAGTTTATATGCCAGGGGTTATTTTGTACATGTTGACATGGACAGGTGACAGGTAGGTAGTGACTATAAGATTCCCATGTATTTCTAAACATTTACATGACAAGTAACAATAATAACATTTACGGAGCGCTTACTGAAAGCAAGGCACGATGCTGGGGGCTCCATCACTATAACAACCTCCTGGAAGGAGAGAGTTTTATTTTCTCCACTTTAAATATTGGGAAACTGAAGCTTCAGGAAATAAAGAAACTTGGTCCAGTCACATAGCTAGTGTATGGCAGGAACAAAACATAAACTCTGCTTATCTGACTTCAAAAACTATATACTTAAGCAATAACCATATACTGTAAACCATAAAGACTGAGGTAAATGAGTTAATGGGAGATAAACTATTCTGTAGTAAATTTGGGGAAAAAATGATCTAAATCGGAAACATTGATGGCAGCGAGTTCATTCCTGATGCTTGTAGTAGAATCCAAGAGATGGACAGAAAGGCGTAGACTTAGGAAATCATGAAGAGATGGAACCAACAGAGCTGGGTGATAAATTATGTGACACTTGAAGTGAATTCAGGGTGGGGCCACTCCTGGCTGTCAGTACCAATTGCTCACCAGCAGGGACGCTAGACTAACTGGGAAGACCTGATAGGCTACTTAAATGACTGACTTTGCTTAAGGCTTCCTCTTGTAGGGAAAATGTTTGAAGCTGCTGAGATCACCGGGTAACTGACTGGCTTCATCAATTCTTCTTTTCAGATTGTTGTTTGGTATTTTGTTGGCAAAGTTAATGTCAACATCATTTTTAAAGAATTCACTATCACTTTGTGAGTTATTTTAGTTTCTCAGTACTTTCTTCTGATACCAACTTTTTAGGTATTCTAGGTACATTATTGTTTTTACAGTAAGGAATAGTTGTTACTATGATATGTTGTTCTGAGCACTTACTATCTTGTAATTTATTTTTATTATTTTACTTAATCTGCACAACAAGCCATGTGGGAGATATTATCACCCCCATTGTGATTCTCAGCACAATTAACCAACTTTCCCTGGGCTAAGCAGTAAGTAAACATAAGAGCCAGGGTTTGTGGTAAGACTTTTCTGATTCCCACTGTGCTAGGGGACCTCAGTAGAACAAGAAAAGGGAAGAAGATCATTGTGAAACTCAAATCATGGGAAATGCATTATTTTAAAACGTGTTGATGTGGGGAAAGTACCAAATAAAATGGGTAAAATGAACTTTGGGGATTATGTGGAGATGTTTCAGACCCTTTTTCTCTCCATTAGGCAAAGATTATTTTATGGAAGAAAAATATCACACAAAGGTTAAGGAGAAGTATTGTTAGGAATCCTATGTTTTAAAATCACGTGAGGTTGTTACAGCTCTTACTTGGTTTTCATTTAAAATATTCAGATTTCTTTGTGAGTGAAGATAAGAGTTTGAAGGCAAGCGAGAATGGTCTATCCCATTTCTTCTGTACATCTGTTATCTTTCCCAAGAAAATTAATCACTTACCCTCCTGGACTCCCAAAGCACATTTGTAGAGACACACCAGTGTTTGTCAGTCCCGGAACTTGCCTGGTCTCCTGGCTAGAATGTTAGTTCTTTGAGGAACTTGTTTTTTTATGCCCAGTACTTGGCATACCGTAGGCATTTGAGAAATAAACCAGTTGCAGACGAAAGGAGCAAAGACCAGTTTCAGAGATCATAGAAAGGAATTTGAATAAATTTGCATGGAAAATTGTCCCCTGTCTCAACCCAAACAGTAGGGTTATCTGTGAGATTGAGTCTTGCTCTTGATTTTATTGCTTAGTAAAACTTAGTGTCATGCCATGCAGCTATCACTGTTAACAGATATTGTGAGGAATTTCAAAGGAAAGAAATGACTTTTTTATCCAATTTGACAGCTTCAGGGAATTGTTACTTTATTTTAACGTTTAAACAGCATATCCTTACAGGAAAAAATTTAAATCTGAAGATGAAACATCAAACTTTATTTGGTAAATAAAACATAAAATACATATTTCAATTCAATATAAAAACTCACTTTAGGAAGACTGTTGGGGGATTCAGGAAAGAAAAAGTAAAACAGGAAGAAAAAAAAGGATGTCGTCCCTCGATACCCTTAGATACTAAACTCCGCAGATGCTCAAGTCCCTTATAAAAAAAAATGGCCTAATATAGTCCGCCCTCTTTATTATTGGATTCAACCAGCTGTGGATATGGAGGGCCATGGTTAACAGCAACTTGTATGGTCAAGTACATTTTGAAAGGACAAAATCAACTTAACATACTATTAATTCTTTATTTAAAAATGCTCTTTAAACTTAAATGATTTATTATTTCTAGAATTTTTGTGTGTTTAGAGTGTTACAATTTTTACCCAAATTTGGAAGTATAAACATTTTTTAAGTCATCCCTTTTTCTCTTTTTTCAGTCATAAGCAACTCAATCTCCTTTGGAAAATAAAGGTCCTGCTGCACTTTCTAGAGAAGCGCGAATAGCTTCCCGGAGTAATGCGTGGTTTCAGAACACCGCTGCCAGGGCTTTTAACCTGTCTTGTACCTTTGCAACGAGAAACATAATTTGCCATTTAGATTAGACGAAGTGAGTGGTTGGCTGATCTAGTCCTTAAAATAGGTGTTCTTCATTTCTGAAATAACAGTTTATCAATGTCTTTCTCAGAGAAAATGATTTAAGTATATCATCAATTGCCATGTAATTCCAATTTCCTCAGATTGATTGCTGATAATTATGAAAAGTGATCCGTGTGTTGGAGCCAGCTCATTTTGGCTCGTGAGAAACACTTGTATATCTCTCGTCCCAAGTCCTCATTCAGTGATACCAGTTTGGTAGCTTGACGTCAGCAATGGTGGGAGCACTTACATGACAGAAATAGGCAAGTGCTGTAAGTCAGGGCTTTGGGGTGATGAGGAAGAGGGGAGGCAGGCTGCCAGCATTTACCAGCACATCACTGCATACAGGGACTTCCCTTTGAATACAGGGAATTCCCCATGAATACTGTCTTCATGTTTTATCTGAACATTCAGCATTCATTCAGTAAATATTTGTCGATGACCAATTACATGTTCACATTGTCCTTGAGAAATAACTCACAGGGTATTTTGAGGATTAAATGGAAATGTTCGATGGATTGCAAAACATTACCAAAATGCAAATTTTCATTGTTAGAGGTCATCTCTACTGAACCTCAGGGTCATTTATGTTCTAGTGACTCACAGTCCCCTGGAGAGCTCAGTCCAGTGAGGACCTCTGACAACCTCTAAGTTCACCAGGTGCTGAGTACCGACCTCTAAATTCACCAACCACGCACGGATTTCATTCTCAGGGCATCGCTGTTCATTTGGACTGTTTGATGTTAGGTTAGTGTCTGCTGTTTGGAATTTGGAAGTTCTGTTGTCTTCATCACTACTGTAG